GATGATGCTGTATGTAATGGGGAAACATTCAAAGAACGTACTCTAGTCTAGTAACTTGTTAGCCAAAAATGTGCAGGTGTTTTCGTAGTAGGGTAGCACTATCAATTTGCATACCTTCTGAAGTAAGTATGCATTAATTTACTATTTTAAAGTGTAACAACTTCATTATACTTATCTCACGCACATTCATTACTATTCTATGAATTATACAAAGAAAGTGCTCTAGTCTAGTAATTTGTTAGCCAAAAAATGTGCAGGTGTTGTGGTACACAACACCTGCACATTTTTGGTACGTTCATTGAATGTTTCCCACTACATACAGCATCATGTCTGACGTCATTAGTCGGCTCTTCTGAATATTATAAAAGGAGTGAGGAGTAAACAGTAAACAACCAATAGTAGGGTAGCACTATCAATTTCCATACCTTCTTTGTTAATATTATACTAGGCAATATCTATTGTATACTATAATTATGCATTAATTTACTATTATTATTTTTATTTTAAAGTGTAACAACTTCATTTACTTAGCTCACACATACACACAAAAGAACAATATTATGTCATTTGTATTCTCATCATTTAATATACAGCTCAAAAGCTAATTCATTATTCATATCATCTTAAAAACCACTGGATATGAGTACATTTTTAAGCATTCTTTAAGTGTATGTTTTGGCTTAGCTTGTCCAGTTGACTCTTGCTCTTCCTCTGCTTCTAGCCTTCCTTTTGTGTTAATTCAGTGTGCTATTACAAATAAAACACTACAACTCTTAACCAGTAGGTGAAAATGGATTTTTAATACTTGTGCGTGCTTTTGGTGATACTTTTACTACATGTATATGACTGTATAAGAGGTTAAATTTATTTGAAAAATTCTGTAGTATGCATTCATAAGACTGTTCATAAAAAGTTATTATGTTTTTATTCATTCATTCACTATGTAATCATATCCAATAGTTATGCAGTAACTTTTACTTGCATTTATGTCATATCATTGAGTGAGTGAGTTTTTAAGGTTAGGTTTGTTTATGTTAATAATCACATTTATTTGACTTTTGATAATTAATAATTAATAATTTTGACTTTTAAGCTTGTGCTGCCATTACTCGCCCACTGCTGTATAGCCAAGATCAATATTACTGTTCTTATTAAACTAGTATTGTTTGAGCTTACTGTAAATGTTCTAATTATACACTAATTTTGTAATTTTTTCTGAATGAGAGCTTCTTGACACACTGTAAAATTTATCATGGCGAATTGTTCCTGGCACTTGTATCTCTGCTTATCTACTTTAATCCAAGTAGCAGCTCGTTCAACTATACACCACATATCATATCACAGCAATAATGCCAAATATGGTATAGTGAAATTAAATCATTGCTAAAGTGCATGACCTTTATATCATGATGCAAAATCAACAGAGACTGCAAAAGAACAAACATAGTTTAATGCTCATATTGCTGGTGCATAACAAATGGGGCTTCAAGTATACACAAGATTAATAGGGAAATTATTACATACTTCACTACAATGTAGTTCGCTAGCCAAAATTTTCTTTTTTTGTTGCTAATGTTTTACGTAATTATTGTATTGAATTAATTTGTTTTTGTTATTGATGTGAGGTTCTTGTTATTGACCATCAGCATACAAAAACTTCAATGATTATAATCATAACATAATGTAATCTTTATTAGCACTACTAAACAAACTTTATCCTCACACACCCAAGGCACTTTTGCAATACTCTTTCAACATGTTGCTTGTGTCCATTGTCTTCTTGTTGAGTGTCAGTGAAGTTATTAGCCAATGTACACCTTCCTCAGGTAAGACACTGGATGTGTATAATAACAACTGTATAGGTTTTTATAGGTATCTACCTGAGGCATAATGGAAACTGTTATACTAATAATGGATCATTTTTTAGTGACGGTAGTATCAGACCAACTCCTCTAGAGTGTGTATTACCTGGTGCTACTCTGAATGGTGGACAATGGATTGGTCCTAATGGAGTAGTTCCTTGTGATGGTGGTAACAATCAAAATGTTGAATGTACTACTGGGTCAGGTGCTAGTCTCAATGTTTTTGTAAATCCACCAAGCTTTCTTGGGGCAGATGGTGATGGCTGGTACAAGTGTTGCCTACCCACTAATTGTTCAGATCCTAACACTAACATTATTTTTACTAATATATTCAGTAAGAGAAGTCTATAGTTAATCACTTAATGATGTTATATATTTTAACTGTAGTATATACACAGGTTGAGTCATTTACTGTTGCTGATCTTTCCACTGATATGACAGTATATCCTCAGGAATACAGACTGAATTGTGTTAAAATTGGATATCATCAGTATGACATTAGAATGAGCATTGATAGTAGTGCACTGGCTAATTACACTAATTGTAATGATTATAATAATAATTGTGGCGGTACTGTGTTAAGTGGTTCTGTTTCAAACACAGTAAAGTATACTGTTAATATCACATGGGATGGAATGAATGTCAGTAGTGGATCAATCAGTCGATCAACCACTGGAGATCAAATGTACCAGTGTGTAGTGGATAATACTGGTGGTGTTGATAGAACACGTACTTTAACAATAGAAGGTAATGACCAATTTCTTGTTACCAATACTATTCATTTTAAATTATTATTAGTCCCAGGAACTGCTCCTTCTCCTCTTACTGAAATTAACAAGACAGCTACCACTATCACTGTCAGTTGGACTCCACTTGATTCATCTGATGGTGATGGATATGTAGTCAATGTCACTAGTGACACAGACACTGTGCAGACAGTACAGGTGAAGGGAAGTAGTAATAATACAATCACACTGAATGGACTGAGAGGAGGAACAACTTATAACATCACAGTCAGAGCCTATCAACAATTACTGGGACCTGCTAGTACAATCAGTGTACAGACCTTTGATATACCAGGTATATCTATTGCTCCTGTTTATATTTATAACATTGTTGATGTATTTCCAGTTATTAATTCAATCAATTGGACACTAGTTTCATCCATTACACAATTCAATAACACTCAATATCGTATTGATTGTCTCACAATTATTGATATAAATAATCCTTCAACTGATGTTTACTGGTTAGTGAATGGAGTGATGAAGAGTAACTCAATGTATACATTGATTGATGTCCTGACATACAACAACACACTACTGGTATATCCTGATCCACTGGGAGTGTCAGTTAATGTTTCCTGTATAGCAACGCTTGGAGGAGTCAACTACAGTCAATCCGTAATATTACATGGTATGATTATACTTTAATCAATAGTAGATACTATTGTCTCTTTTCTAGCTCCTAGTGATCCTCCAAATAATGTGAGAGGGTTTATATTAAATGCTACTAGTATCAAAGTGAACTGGACCACTTCATCAGAGACTAATGGATATGTGATTGTATATACTACTGGAGGTGTAACCAGGAATGTAGTATCTACCAGTGAAGATGAAATTGTACTAACAGATCTCTCACCAATGAGTATCTATACTATCAGTGTGTACTCATATATAGATCTTCCTTCAATTGATTATGTGACACTTGTGATTCAAAAATATAACGGTTGGTAAATAAATATTTATAACTATTCCTTTTTAACAGAAACAATAAATTTTTCTACTCTATCAGATTCGTCAATCCACAGTGATAGTGTTATTGCTCTTGGTGTGTCAGTAGGTGTATTGTTGATTCTACTAACTGTCAGTGTTACTATTAATATATGCTGCTTTATAAGGTACACCATGTAGCATCACTATATACAATAATTATTAATTAATAATATTTTTAGAAATAAAGTTCATTTTGCCACAGGTGCTACTATTAAAGACCCAAAGTTAGTATAATAGCACAAGTTACTATTATGCATGCACACACATATCTATATATATAGAGCTGATAAAGATATTGCCTTGCAAGTATGTCAAACATATCAAATTCACAAAACTGAAGTTGGGGAAGAGATTGAAGTTGTCTATGATGAATGTCATGCATCACCTGATGCTACTCACACATATTATGAACTCTGATGATTGACTGAATATTGAATGGTTCTTTTGAACAAATATTAGACTAGGCCTAGCTAGAACTATAATTATTGTAATATAGTTTTGTACAATAAATACAATTGTAGTCAAGTCAAAGGAACTAAACATAAAAAATTTTTAAAAAACAAGATGGAGTAGGATTCTAGAGCAAGTTCATAAAAAAGTAATGGAAACAAGGGCAAGTAGGATTCTG